TGTGTGTCAATCAGCCGCAATCCCTAATGGCTTAATATGTCATCTTAATATGCAGTATGCTCTATCGGTGCTCTGCTGCAAGAAATGGGTCATATAATGGCCCATTTGGCCGATTACAAGGCCATTACACAACGGAGACTTTACGTGGGCATAGCTGTAATTTTTCATGCGGTACACACTTGAAACACACAAAACCTCAAATATGCAAAAACGTCCTCCATCATGTCACCACTCGTGTCATCGTAATGCCATTTTCAGAATGGCGAAGCTGTTTACTCTCTTATTAACCCGGCAAACATTATACAATGAAAATAATCATTTCCAGGAATTAATAACAAAAAAAAGGGCCAGAAGTTTTGCCCCTGATCTCATGATTGGGATTCTCCTTAACCGAACAACCTTGCCAACATCACCAGCTATGATTTGTGAATGACTCAAGAGATATCAGCTCATTTTCACAACATGGTGCCCGTCCCTGAGAAAATCCCATCTTTATAAGATTTGTTTTTTCTGATGTCCTTCAGGCCATGACTGTGCTCACTTCTCACGTTCTAAGAGGCTCGACCTGCTGTATTTCATTTGAATGGCACATTCAGCACCTTAAACAACGCTTGTCCTGGAAAAGCAGAGAAGCATTATCAATGATTAACTCCTCTCTGAAAAGGTCAAAAAGGGGAACGATTCTCTTTTTAAGGCGAAATCTCATCCACGGGCAACAGCAACATTCTTAATAAGCCCTGCCATGGTTTAGATAGAGCTGCATTTGCATTATGAAGGTGTCATGAAGAAAGAAACTTGGAGAGAAGATCACCGTTACCCGATGAAGAACCTCATTCTGCCAGCCCTTCCCCATTGTTGAGGTGTCATTATCGACCAAGGACACGCTATCAAAACAAAGGCCCCGTGCAACAGTGACACAAAAACACTCAATTTCTCTCCAGCTACATATTTACAGCAGACATTAAGAATAAAACAATAAGTCATTTAGCTAGAGCTGCGTTTGCTATTGTGCTTTGCCGAATACAAAAACACTAATTAATCTCAGTTAGAGGACCTTCTTTCTCCTCCTATTGCCATTATTCCCCAGAACGAGTCTCGGGGGGGAAAAGGCAGGGAGCGGCAGCCCACTCCTGGCAATGTCCATGACACCATCACAGAGGAGGAAGCCACTACACCAGCTGGGGCCCACTAAAAACACCTTCCCTCTCAGTGGCATCTGGACACCCTCACATTCAACAACTCTCTCCATCTACTCTGTCTAGACAAATTGGGCATCTTTTTTATTATGAAGAAACTAGTTTCAAATAAATAAATTCACACAGAAAAAAAAAAAAAGTGATTCTCCTTTCCGCTCAGCTCAGTGAGAGCTGGCTTTGATATTTGCAGGCCTGAGCAGATGAGGCTTGTTGGTTTTAGCAGAACAGACCGTTACAGTTCCGCTTTGGGTTTCTCCCGTTGGCTCGGGAGAGGAGCACACTTGGGAGCGCCCAAGCAGACGTGCAGAGCCTCAGAACTGGGCTGAACCAACCTTAAAAGGAGCCAAAGCATGCAATCAGCACTGCATGGAGGGATAAACAAGGCGACTCTACATCCAGACATAGCAATTAGGCAGAGAGCACATCGTCATAAACAGCCAAGAGTTCCAGGCACTGCTACTCTCCTCTTCATGTGACCAAGAAGCTTGTTTTCCTTGTTTCATTTTAGTTCTTCATTCTTTTGATACTCTTACTTACAAACTGGGGTGGAACTGGGCCACTTTGGTCTTTGATTGTTGGATGAAGGAGAGTCTTCACTACGCTGACATAAAACCCAGATCTTTAATGTTTTTTTTATAAAGTTTTATAGGTAATTTTTTTTTACACTTAGCACACCATCTCAGAATTTAGATCTTAATGACACTGCCTTTGAACAGGAAAATAAAACCCATCCAGTTTTTCATTTTAGCTTCGCATTGCACACAGTAGTGGTATTTTGTTCCAATACTGAGATCTCAGCCAAAGACAGACTGTGACGTCAAGCAGGATGACTCAAAATGAGGCCATAAGCACATGTTTTCCGCAGCTGATGCAAGCGGTTTCTAAAATGTGCAAAAATCGCCTGTTGACGGAGCAGATATAATACACATCAATCCAGGAAGGACCAGTGTTATGGGAAAACACTTTGGTACAAATATGACTGTGGACAGACAAGAAAGTCTAGATTTGACAGCTCGCAGGCAGTTTGTAGTCATGGCTGATAAAAAGTTAAATGTAAGCTGCAGGTCTTTAGAAGACAGAAGACGGGCTCTTAAAAAGTCAAACATGCTGCACCACCATCTACTTACTGTGTCCCTTAAGGGAGAACCGCTTCCCATTTTGGCATTAAATCAAGGAAATAAGCTCGAACTTGGATCTAATTTTTCAATCGTCCGTGATTCTAAAAGAAGACTGCTTCTGCAGTTGACATGAGAGCTGGACAGTTAAAAGTCCAGAGGGATTTTATCTGCTTGGAAAACTCAAAGAGGAAACGACTTAAAGTGTCATTTGAATCACACATTCACAATGACATGGAGTTTGGACAGATACTGTCTACAACAAATTGTAAAGGTGCTTGAAGAAGGGATGCCCTCTATTCTCTGGTTTCAACATTGCCATCTCAATTTTATTTCCATCCCGGCACACCGAGATAACAATCTTTTGTGTGAGCACGGTAAGGTTGTTACGTGAAGATTCATAAGTGTAAGTTGAGAAGAAGACGGCGATCATAGGGGAGATAGCCCCTCCAGCAGTATGGCTTTCACCTAAAAGTGTCTTAATGCATTTTTACTCGTCAGACCCCGCTCTTGCAGCTGTAAAACAATTTTACCTGTCAAGTGCACTGCATTTCACATCCTTTTCAGTGTGGTCAAAGAGGAGAAATTGCAATTTGCCACAGCAGGTTGAGTGCTCAAACTGTGAAATGGAGAAAGAGCAGCAACCTGCTAATTAGGCACAATTCAAGCCGCACAGGTACAAAACAAGCCCATCTGAAGCACCCTCAGACCGGGAAGCCCAATCAGGGACACCTCTTAAACAGACATGGGATTTTAATTAGATCTGTTAAATTTAGACGGTGCAGAAAGTGTCAATTTGTAGGTCAAGGCTTTTCCAGATTTCACTGTAACCTTTGCCCAGCCTCAGTGTGTACTGGCATTAATCAATTGCGAAGGTAAAAGGGGACACTCGCCGTGCCGCAGAAAGTAATTTCTCTGGGGTAGTTTAAGACATATCATCCTGATGTGTCGCCACACACACAAACACACGCCAGAGCGCAGGCCCCTAAAAATTAGTCAGGGTCTACTAATTAATTCCCTCCCTGTCACATGAGGGCAGAGCAATTTATCTGAGAGGCAGCCTTTGTGAGATTAGGCATTTGATAAAAGGGAAAAACAATATCCATTATTTTTCAACAAAAAAGGAAAAAAAAACATAATTCCATTAGTCTTAATTCCAAAAATGGAGGTGGAGGAGATATCGTCGTATTTAGATCAAACAAATCGCGTGAGGGGAAAAAAAAATGCAGGGAGGGTATTTTACCCTTTATTTTTACATTTTAATAACCACCCAAAGGATAGATCCATTCAATTAAAAGAGATCTGAGTTTTAGATGCAACAAGATGTGAATCCATTGAGCTAGTTTCACTGGGTCAGACACTTGTGAGGATGCAATACCAAGAAATCTAATGTCAACTCCAGAGGAGAGTTTAGTATTTTATCTTAATATTGTCACAGGGTTAAATCCTGATATATGCTCATATAGGCTGTAATCAATATCCATTAGTCTCTAATATTGCAGCTATTTACATGGAGCCCAACAGTAAATTCCAATTATTGTCAGATTTACAGCCAAATAAGACAAATGCCCTACATGAACACCAAAATAATGACACTGAAAGGTCTACTTGACAAATTTCAGTCGCACGATAAAACTAGAAAAAAAACTTGTTGCATTAATCTGCCATCCAATTCGTTGCATCTTTGAGAAATGTATAATTGTTGTGCAGTAGGCACTTAGTTCTTAGTGACAGCTTTTGCTATCTTAGTGATAGCTTTTGCTATCTGTGCAATATATCAATATTTCATTAAAATTTCTTTTTTTTTTTCCAAAGATTGTAAATGAGAGCCCAAAACAGCAATCTGGTCATTATTCTTACTTGAGCTAACAACAACAACACATTTTTATGCCTGGAGAATAATGCATGGGTGTGTTTTTTTCTTTCCAGACCATTTTCTTAGAACCCTATAAGAACAAAATCCCAACGTAGCCATCACAGTTTCTGAAATCTTTGGTTTCTCAAACCACCTTCCTTCCTTAACCTGATGCTTAGTTTGAACTTCAGCAGAGCCTCTGCTTGCATTTTGCAACTATTAAAAACTGATAAACAAAGTGAGCAGCGTGTACCACATATTTCATACTGCTTCTGCAGTCCAAAGCTGCAAAATCAATTTAATTTGCTTTGTATTTTCCAACAACAGAAAAAAGCTCACTATGTAAATGCAAACAAATTGTGACTACCAGACGATTTCCATTCAACCAAAAAATAGGTGATGCCTGTGGAAGTTAAGAAGAACCACCTCTCTGTTTTCAATTGAAACAAAAGTACTTACAGCACATTTAGAAAAAAGGATCATATATCAGCTAATGCTATATGCAGCATATCTAAAAGCCTAAACCCACTGCAATACAGCCACGAGATTAGATAAATAACTAGGTATTTGTTTTAATGAACATTTTTAATACATATATAGCTGATAAAACTTTTGTCTGAATGCATTTTCTTTTGCTCGCAAAAGAAGAAAATATCATTTCCTTAGTCTTTAGGAATGATATTCATTTATCTATAAAGAATCATTGTACAAAGAAGCTTCTGGGTGCTCCTGACCCAAAGCGCTGTCAAATTTGCAGTTTATTGCAATGATGTATTCTCTGTGGGGTTACAGGAGCCTTCCTTTTCTTCGCCGAGCCAAAGTCCCAGTCCTCACCTGAGGGCAGCCATGGATCTGATGAAGTCTTCTCTCTCGTATTGGCCAGCTCCCAGTCAAGGTCGTCATCTCGGCCCTGGCTGTATCCACACGCTGCCAGCGGCTTCTCGAAGTTACAATCGCCTGTGTCAAAAGGAAGAAATTTATACGGTTACACAGTTTTTCCATTAACTTGCTGCTCAAATGAATGAATATATAAATTCAATTCTTCGCTCCTTTTCCCCAGCGGTATTCATAATGCAATATGCCAGACAATGAGATACATTTAAGAGACAGAGTGAATGATTACTGTAGTAGACGAGGCACAACATACATTACCACCATTAGTAACGCGGCAGTCCAATTTCACAATGACAAGTATGAAGTGTCCGAACTCCATCATCGTTAGGCATTATGCTCCCAAACTGCACCACCATCAGGCATAAATTGATTTATTTTCCTTGTCGGCCGCAGAACTTTGCTGTTCATGCGCCCTTACTTCACGGAACCACTCTAATCCTTTTTACAAGCAGCTAGCAAAATGACAGCAAGCAACCATTAGGGCCAGGCTTCAGCCAGGCTGGGCGCGTGATCGATTAATACAAATACCCTTTTATTCCTCGCACCTTAAAGGCCACACAGAGAATGTGTGAGTTGAGTCTTTTTCCCCCCGCAAAGTGCTTTTCAAACCACTCATAAATAAAAATAAAAAAACGCCCAGAAAAGTCAGAACACTGAGGAAGGATCTCATGCTGAGAAAACAAAACAAACTGATGTGCAGTATATTATTTTGACACGTGCCAGAAATGAAGACAGACACTGAACCTGAATCCATTTGCTGGGACATTGTTAATAAGTTTCTAAACACAGATGACATACAAATCTTGGTGCCTCTGGGAATGTCCTTTGAGCCGGAATATGTGCCGGGCCAAAACCAATATCTCATCTCTTACAAGCTCCCTCTGACATTTTGCTGCATAAAGGCTACAAGCTGGGTTTTTGTTTGCCCATTTATCTCTCTGGTGACATTTACAGTGCATGTGCAAATGAGTGGCCAAATGAGGAGAACACAGGATAATTAATACCCTGTTCCACAGGGCAACTGCTGATGATACATTTGCTGCCTTGACCATTTTTTTTAGTGGGTTGTGGGGACGTGGGTATGGGAAAGTAAGCGATGGTGAAGTATCATAGGTGCAAATATGTCGACAGGTTGTCTGGACACGTATCGCCTTATTAAGACGAGCAGGTTGTATCCAAGCTACAGCATTGCCAGATGAATGATGATTACTGTATTCATTTGGTAATTTTGCCCTCGTTTGACGTTGGACCAATAATGCCAAAGGACTCTAAAGGGAATATTTTTTATTATTTTTTGGCATAAGCTGTTACTTTTATTTTCCATGGGATTTTCAATAATTATGCACTAATAATCTTGTTTTTCATCCCAGTTCGATGGGCTTTTAGCATCATCAGCCCTTTTCAATGATTTTTTCGCACTTTCTGTTGTTACTTTGATCTAGTGTCAATATTCGATACCTCGATATACTGCCTCTAGAAGAATTCAATCAAGAACTGAGGTCTTATTTCAGTATGTATCAATATGTACAGTACAGTACTTTGAACAAGACAATGCATCTAATCCTAACAATATTTCTATACAGCACTGCTATTTTAATACACGATCAAATTGGTTTTTCAAGTGGATAAATAAGGCCATCGTGACATCAATTATTTGCTTAAAGACTAAATAAATCAAACAGAAAGGTCAAAGTTAGCATATCATGAGAGAAGTGTTATCATTTAATAAGCTCCTTGGAAAACAGTAATGAAGTAAGGGTTCTATGTGTCTTTAAAAAGTTTATTTTTCTATAGAGCATATACCCAAACCTCTTTGAACCCCGTATGACTAAGTTTTGAAGGGTAGAAATGAGCACCTAATAAATTTACTGCAGAAACCTTTTTCCCTATTAAGTATTAAACTCATTAGTATTCTTGAGTAGCTAGTAATTGCAGCGGTATAATGAGATGCTTTTTGGGATCAATCGACCAACTGTAAAGAAAATCTGCAGCTTGAGAAACTCGTATTGTCCGGTAAGTGCGAGGCGGCCAACACCAGCAGCTGAAATCTAAAATTAATCGACAACGTTTGTCATAAAAGTCGGAATCCACAATATTGTGCGCTTCGAGCTCTGAGACTCCCGCATCGGCATGAAGCTGTTCACGGGCCAACGAGAAAAAGCTGGAGACCCGATGAGAAACTTTACACCTTTTAGGGCTGAGCCTCCATGTACTTGGTGCTCAGTCAGCTCGCTCTCTAAATAAATAAAAATGTCGACGCTGCCAAGATGCAGCTTGGAGAACATGAACTGGAGTCCTCGGCTGCGGTATCACGGATTGGACGCGTTCCATCAATGTTTCCACTCAACAAGTTTCAAGATCCCACGCCCTGTGCCACCCGCCATCCTCACGCAGCATGGGGGAGCTCAAACAGACTCAGACAGGTGGCTTTTACCAGGGGGGTTGGATATTAAAATCGATGGCACTGGAAACGGAGTTTAATGTGTATTCAAAATCCGCGGTTGTGTAGGGCGGATTTTGAAAAGAAAAGTCTTAAAAAAGAATGTACGATTGCTTAATGCTTGAGAGCTTTAATTATTCCTTAAAGTGCCACAGTGTTCAATAATAAATCAGTAAAATGAAGGGGATGAGGGGGCAGTTTGAAAAGCCATGCTCTTCAAAGCCATCCTGAACAGTTGTGGTTTATTAATGATGCTCCTGTAGACTTCTCAGTTTTGACCGCATGCATTTTTAAATAGCGGGACATTAACAAGTTTATGTACAATTTACTTGCTCCTTCCAACAAAGACCAAAACTCTACGGGAACAAAGGAGCAAATCCAGCGCTAAATGAGAATTCATTAAGACGAACTCATTTGCACTGCAGATTGCATTGTGCTATATCTTCATGGACTCATTACATATGGATACGATATTTGAAAACAGTGGGTGGAAACAAATGCACGGCTTCTTTTTTTCCACTTCTTTTTCCTTCTTGCCGAGAAGAGAGGGCGCCATTAAAACCGAGTAACGGGGTGTGAACAAGCAATAAATCAATTCTGCGCGGCTTTGATCGTTGGACAAGGTGCTTTGTGTCAGTATTGGGAAAATCTCCAATAATGCCTGCAAACTTTTATTGACCTGCTCCTCACTGAAGTAAACATTAAAGCAACATGCTCTTGCACAGACTAAATGGCATCATAAGCTCTCTTAAGTGTGTAACGTCACCATTACATGTTGCACGACCCCCCCCCCCACACACAGGCGAATGCCTCTGCCTCAAGAGATAGTGCAAATTCATGCAGATGAACGCATCAGTCACCAGCATCATAATAGTTCCTCTCTCTGCAGGGGGTGCATATCGCTGCCAGTGTGTGGAACAATCCCCATATAATCAGCCTCAGCAGCTGCTGAAATAGATATTCCAATGAGGGTCTGCCAACTCTCTGAAGGGGGTTTAGCTTTCAATAAAAGCTTCGGTGAGGTGGGGCACTTTCTGAGCACAGATGAATATGCTACACCCCGTCAACATTCCCCTTTCAAGAAAAAGTAAGGGTGATGCTTAAAGGTGGCCCGAGATATGTCGTAAAACAATTTATTCCTGAGCGAGAACACACAATGCTCTTTATATTTTCACACAGAGTGCATTTCAAAAGAAAATCCATCCATCTTTTCCTGGACCGAGCCAGAGGCCAGAATCAATACATCAACCCCTCAATGCTGCAGCCAATTTCTCCTAAAGATTTTCAAGTCAGACTTAAAAGGCCTTTTGTTATTGCAACTGTAACAAAAGTAAACTTTGGGCGTTAAAAGCTGTGTGTTTGAGTGTGTGGAAATTCGGTAGACTGGTGGCAGAAAACAGACCAGAGGGGGTGAAAGTGGAAGACTTGTAGGGAGGTATTAGAGCAAAAATGTGCTCCTGTCTTCAGTGAAAAGGAGGATTAGGTTTAAATTAGCTCATTTATTGGGTGGCTAATCTCATATCAACAGCTTCTACAATGCTGGACACTAAGAGGGCTACATTACTTTTTTTTTTATTCACCAAAAAGGTGTAAAGGGTGTTCCCTTTTTTAGTCTTATACTCTTGTATCATTTTCATATTTTCTTAGTTGACTTTAACTTGCTTGATGTGAAATTTAGACCCGTCTGCCAGCTATAGAGGGCAAATCCTATTTTTGGCACATTCAACCCTCATTAACAACGACAAATCCAGCTTGTTTTTATTCAGTTGGCTGATCGGTTTGTTTGCTGATTACACCTAACATGGAGGGTGAATTCCCCCCCCCTCTTATTTCTGTTCGAGACTAGCTGTTGTCTATGCATTTGATTTATTTGTAGATTTTATATCTTGACAGAACAAGTCTTTGCAGATTGGTCATGGCTGGTACACTCTCCTGGTAAAATATGCCAGTCTGCAAAGGCACTTTAAGGATGGTATACTGTGACTCGCATTGCATAAGATACGACGTCCTCCAAGAGAGGATACTGATCCCTCTTTGCAGCGATGCCACTTGTCCAGTCCCAGTGGCTTGTATCATTGCAGCACGACCTTCTTAGTCTGTCTGCCAATTCTGCAATTACCAACATTCCCACCTGCTTTGTCGGCGGAGGAAATCGCAGGTCTGCCCTTCGCCCCGAACTGCCTCGATGTCTGCACTTGTTTTAACAAACATCTTGTCTGCCGGCGTCCCCGCAGACTCAAAACCACAAGGCAATCTTGGGTAATTTAAAACCAATGTCAACTATTTCCCTCCACCACAGCCAGTTTAGAGCTTCACAATCCTGCAGCTAAGCCCCTTAGGGACTGATAGGCCTTTTCGGTCTGGCCCTATTTCACTTATCTATTGGCAGCTCCTGCCAAGTTCTATCTCTGCACTGAATTGCGCGTATATATACTCTGTTTGGGGACTTTGAACTGTGGGAAGGGATTTAGACAATCAATCTCAATATCATTATCAATCACGTCTTGCTGTTCCCCCCATTGATTCGGAGGGAAATAAAGAAGTTAGAGTGAAGATTTCCACTGATAATCTCCTTGGCTGAGCCATGTGCTTGTCAGCAATGTTTTGCAAAGTAAAACCGACAAACCGCATCAAGCGTGGCAAACCAAAATCAGGACAAAAAGCCAGCACTGCATTCAAAAGTTCAAACAAGCCACCGACGTCTTGTTTTACTGTCAACAAATTAATTATTAACAGAAGAAAAAAACTACTTGCCACTATGTTTAGCTCAAAATCCTCTTATTATGAAAACCTCTGTGCCTTTTTTAGGACTTATTTTTTTCTCCCTCATCTTGTCAACCAACTATCAAATTGATGAATGTGCTTTACATCAGGGGTACAACATAGCTCCTGATCAAACCCACCCATATGCATGGTTAGAGGTACATCGAAGATGACAGGCGGCCTTCTCCTAAGATATGCTAAATTTTGACAGATGATTTTCCAGCTATGTATGCCAGCACGGCGCTTGACGTTCTCTTCCACTGCGCCTGTCAAGAACTTCCAGCAAATGACTTCAAATCCATCTCCATTCTGTATAAGCTGCCAGGCACCAATTAAGATGAATCTGGATTCCAACTCAGAGATGTGGAAGATCCTTATTGTCATTTTCCCCCTAAGTAATAAAAATGAGGACTTTGGGTTTGATCGTGTGAAAGTATTTCGCGATGAACATCAAACGTGGAGAAGACTCCTTTTTAATTTGTGTTGTGAGCCACAGCCAACTAAAACAAATTCCGGGAGCTTTAAGCCATTCCATGAAGCTACATTTCTGGGATTATATTTGATTAATTTAGTAGAAACTCAGGACAAGCACTTGCAGAATGTTTGGTTTACAGACAGTGCAGCTTCTTGTGCATCTCGTCTCCGACTTGACAGCAACGAGGCTGCTTAACAATGGCTGTTGCTCCTGTTGTTCCCAGCATCCTCATTCTTCGCTCTACAAACAGAAAGAGCGAGTCTGTCTGTCTCAGTGCCTTTGCCCCCCTGAGAGAGAAAATAATGCTGTTTCCTATTCAGCTTAATGCCTGACAGAGAGAAATCGGCTTGTTCGGCCCCCCATTTCCTGTGTTCAGCATACCCTTAGGAATGATAAGGTGACTGAGCGTAAAACAAGCGATATTGAAGCCATTGTTTTTCTGCTGAAAAACAGTTAAACCACAAGAAGATAAGGTGCATTTTCATCTGTGATGCAAGCAGATATCTTAAGATTTTCAACTAAAACTAAAATACTAAAAATGACTTAATGGCCTGCTGCTGCAGACATGTATCAAGTGCAGCCAAGCCAAGTTAAGAATATGGTTTTAAGTAGAATCTATACTTTGCATTGATTCAAATTCAGTTCCATATTGATAAGACAAAGAAATTCAAATATATGCAATCCATGTCAGACTGACCACTTAAGCAAGTCTATGTAAATCTGAACCATATTAGAGACCAGCGCGATGTTCTCGGTAAAAAAAATAGATCCATGGACAGAGCAGGCCTTTTTGGCAGAAAGAAGAACAAGAGACAGTCTGTGCTCGCTGCCAAAAAGCTCCCAACTCACTCATCTATTCCACTGTGGACGACCCTTTAAATTGAACCTCTTCAGAAACCTGCAAAGTCAACAAACCTCTGAATTGCGACCGACCAGAGTTACAAAAAGGGATAAAGTGCTAATGCTAATGGCAGTATCAGTTCCCCTGCATTTCTCAGCGAGTTACCCTGAGTCTAATTTGTCAAACATGGAAGTAACAATGCCATAAATTAGCCCAAAGGGATATCTTCTCCAGAGAAGGGAATGATTATGTTTGATCATGGAATAAACAAGAGAATTAACACGCTTTGTTGGTTTTTCAGAACTGGAACAAATGCTTGTTTTATGTGTGGAGGAGGGAATAATTCAAGGTTGAATGTCAAAGTATTGCAAAATCACAAAAGCTAATTAGAAAATGTGGAGGAATAGAATAAAGGTTGGATCAATCCCTCTTGAGAGGGAGAGAAAAACTAGGCCACACGGCATGACTTGTGCATTCAGGCAGAATTATTATCTTGATGAAATATTATTACTTTGCTTTTATGTCATGACATATCCAAAATCACCTAGTCTCTCGCCAAACAGCCCACGTCGAGCCTGGGACACCCGATCGGGACAAATGGTGCTCAGGTGGAAGGTAGATGCCTGCGCAGGTGAAAGGTTGCCATGCGGATCAGAGCTCTGCCTTGACAGGTGTGGCTCAAGAGATTTCAATCCCAGTGGGAGCTTTTTTAAAGTGCCATCTCGGGGTCTTCACCTGCACACTTCAAACAAATTCAGACCCCTTTGTCTCTCCGCTGAAGCCTCATAAATCAGAAACCTGAAAGAAAAGCGCCATGGCCCAGATTAATCCTCCTGGGTCAGGGGGAGCCAGCGTGGAAGGCATAAGCCATACGAGGGCAGCTTTCAAAGGTACTGCGTGTGCCGAGCTCTTCCCGTGCTTGGCAACAGCAGAGTCTGCCGGTTGGTCAGTGCACACGTCAAAACAGGTGGGAAGAATCTTGTGCTAAAGTGCGATCTACAGTCTCAGCGCTTCCAGGAATGGAACTTAAACACAAAGCAGATAATTAGAATGATAAAAACGATCTAGATTAACCAGGCGCCCGCCTGGTGACATTATCAAGTACCATTCCTGTTGTCACACATTGGATCGCTCCCCTCATGTTTTGCAGTTTAAATTGAAATTTTTACATGGCCGAATCAGTAATTCTCCCAACCTTAAGCTTTTAGGCTGAACGTTGAATTAGTGAGCAAGTTCAGAACCAGGAAAGGCTGTTTTATCATCTTATTTATACAGTTCATGTAAGAGACACTGGTCAGTTTTTACAACTCATCAACTCAACTCAGTTTGTCAGATAAAAGTAGCAAAGCAAGACTTTGAAGTCCCAAGTGATGTTTTTTCTTAATCTTGATATTAAATCTGTTTGCAAAAATACTGACGACATCCGACAAGTATCTGGCTTATTACTGTTTGATCTGTGGCCATTTCAGCAGTTTTTAGGCAGCAGCTTGTTCAGTCTGACAAAGTCTGGTCGGTAAATATTCTCAGTCTGAAATGTTTGAGCACGGAAGAAAGCAGTGTTTCTATATCTCACCCACCTTCTTAAAATTGGCTGGAATGTCTTAATAGACAATCAGAAATCATCTTTCATCATTACTAATTTACATTCGGTTATTCTTTAACTTTAGTTTGTTCACTGCCGCCTTCCCCATTCAAAAGAATAGACCTCATTTTCATTTTTCACATATCTTAAATATGTGCATCTCACTGTGCATGACATATTGGAAAGGTGTTCATAAATCATAATGCCACAGATGATTTCATGAACCCAAAACAATGCGTTTGTCTAATCGGTTTACAAATCCAGTACCAGTTATTTTCATTTTAGTACCTTTGCTGATATGTGTTTTCATCCTGAAACAGGCTGCAGTGATTTCCCCGAGTCTGTTGTGGTTGCTTGGCAACCTTACAATGGTTTTGTATGGATTAAACAAAAAGCTGTGATGCATTAATTAGCGAACTTTAGAGGTTCTGGCTTCTGTATCTTGTTATCTTTGGACTGAGCGATTTTCACGCTAAGATGGCTGTCTGTAGTCTCTTATTTACTGTACAGCTATCAGAGCGGTATTGATTTACTCAACTCACCTCTCAACAAGAAAAGAGAATAGGAAATGACTCCCAGAACATCAAACTTTAATGTAGTCAGAATCTGCCCTGATGCAGATCTCGTGTTTTGGATGCCATTTCCACTCCATAGCTGTGATTTAGAGACAGCTCAGCTGGTAACAGCAGGGATCAAAAATGAGAAACATTTACATTAGCTTACTGGCACATTTACGTTCAAACTGTCAAATGTCTCGAGTTCCAATAAACTCTGCCATCCACCCAGCTCTTTACAGCCATCCCGGGTGGAATTATACTAAGATGCATTCACAGGTCACATGGATGCAGAGCGACAGGATATGCAAAAAACAAATTCAACTTTTCAGCTGGTTTGTTATAGAATCAGACAGTCAAGTGGTATGAATAAGTTATGGAAACAAAGGAATTCCCTGACTCATTAATAATATTAATTTTTAAATCCAATTATTGTAGGACTGCTCGTGACCTATTTTTCTGATTTAAGTGTCCTATCAAAACCTCACCCATCACAAAGTGAAGAGGAACCTTTAATGTTTTAGATGGAGTTCAAGCCCCTTTGGGAGAGCTTTGGATTTCCCTCTGTTGTGTACCCTGCAGGAGAATATTACAATCCCATCCAGGTGAATGATTGCAGGCATTAGTTTGGAGTAAAAAAAGATTTCTCAGGCACAGCAGCCCTCTGATCTCTTCTTACGCTGCAGCTTTTTTCATTAACAGAGTGACAGGTCTGCATAAAGTCATAGGCTGTGCACACCGCTGCCCAAGAGAGGGGAGGAGAAAAAAAAAAAAAAAAAGATGATGGCCGGAGCGAGCAGAAGTCTGGCCGAAATAAGTACGGATTCGAGCAAACCCTGTCGCAGCTTTCGCTGACATTCGCGAGGAGAACTTGAGAAAACAAAGACAACCGAGTGTGATGCGTCAGCCCGCTGATGGAGCGAGCACCCCGGTGCTGCTCACCAGAGACCTGTGAGAGCAATCCTACTTCTTCTTCAGCCTCCTGAAATTGATTTGTCACTAATGCAAAATGCATCTGAACGACATCCAGACACAGTGATGGAAGTTCACTCTTGTAGTAAGGAGCCTTCATTTGGATCATGATCCACTTTGCAGAGTAATCTTTCCAACTGGATTGTGCTGCGGCTGCAGCTTCGTCTCGCGTTACTCTCAGACACGAAAACACGGCAGTCCCGTGGCACATGTCAACATCCCCGCTGTTGCATCGTTTTCTTGAGGTTACAACATCCCAATCATACCGGTGACAGTTTGTCATACTGGACTGTTCAACACGCTCAAAAATACGTCGAGCAGAAATATTTTCATTTGATCCCACGCATTCGCTGTGTTTAAGTCAACAACCGCCTGCTGTTTGTGCTCATTTGAATTCTTGGAACAAAATGACACGTTGTGAGAATGCATTGACTCTACCTCTACCTGTTTAATCTTACTGAACGGCAAATAACATAAGCGCACCATGGCTGTCTCAGTCAATGTCCCTGATGCCGTGATGAAGCCAGGAGAAAGATTAACCTGAAAGTGACCTATGTCTGAATGACTAAATATAGTCAATTTAACAGATTGATGAAGTCATTAATGATATGTATCTCACGTCTGAGAGGGGTTAGAGAGACCAAACACATGCAAACTAGGAATGCACAACCGGCCTGACGATACACGGACAGAATCTAAAAAAAATACAGACCTTTTGATTTTGATAGACACCCGTAAAAACAAATATACACATGATATATACCAGTCTAATAGACATATACATACATGTATACGACACTGTCTTAGATATAAAACTCACAGACAAAAAGTCATCTAAAAAAATTGCTTTATGATTTTCTAAAGTAACACATGCATCTTATTTAACATAAATGCTAAAAAATAAAACATTGAACTAATAAACAAATAGTTCAAATGCAAAGTTGTTAAGATTAACTTTTATTTTCAATAGCTGGAGGACAATCATTCATGAAAACAGTGTTGTCTATCAATCTGTCAGTCTCTCCCTTCTGGTCTCTCTACAGACCATCTGAATGTGCACAGAGGTCATGATATTCTCACTACTCATACAACATTTGAGGAAAACGTGTCATCCACTCAAACATCAATTTGAGTCATCTGCTCTGCTTGACCATCCCAAAGGCTTTTGGACCTATATCAGTTTGGCCAAAGGAGCTAAATCAATCATAGAACAAGGAGAGTTGCCAAAGGCTTTTTCACACCCCAACACTGCAGCAGTCAGTGCCATGTTTAGGCTATTTTGACATGGTCTCAGAAATGTCAAGGAAATCAAGAGGGGAAGAGAACAAGAATAAGTCCTAGAGGGCTTGTCGCTGTCATGAATTGTAGCCGAACAAAAAAAAACAAGGGATATAAAGGGAGACGGGGAAAACCTTTTCAAACACTCTTATTGGGAAAATATCAAAATGTCTTCATGACTCATTAATGGCAAAAGCAATAACACCACGTAAGTTTCATTTTACGTTAAATTAACCACATCATCTTTATGTGGAGGCTTCAAACATCTGGTTCAGTCAAATTTACATTAACTGCGGCTGACTCTGAATCATCAAAGTCATTTTCACTTTAATGGAATTTCATTGTGCCACACAACAGATGAAACTAAATCACAAAACACACAAAGTGAAAGAAACATCGGCAGTAATAGCAATAATAAGATAAAAAATATCATTCCTATTCCAAACAACAAAGGAGAGCAAGAAAAGCATCTAATACAGATCTTTTTTTCCCCTCATCTTTACATGTGGATATTGGAACACAAAGAGAATAAGAAGGAATGGAAATGTCATATCTCAAGTATTACACTTGATAAATAAAATGAAAAAGCTGAATAAATGATTGGAAATACAAAACGCTCTCCATTTGCATTTGTTCATGTCACTTAATGGCTTTGTGTGAGGTAAGTCAGCCTCTGGGAGGCTTTGGGCCAATATATCCGATACTTGGATCACTATATAATCAGAATAATGTATAAGGAACATGTCCCGGGAATTTCTAAATAGCAGTTCAGTTTCAAACTCTCCCAAAACGTTAAGAATAAGGAACTCTTTGGAAACCGTGGCAGGATCTAAACAAGATCTTTCTGAACGAATACCCAACTGAATGGGAAAACATTACATTCGCTACAGAGTAACTGTCCTCTTTCAAAAAGTAGGTTAGTGCTTCAGACTTCAATAGAAATCCCAAAACCCAGACACAATGAGATGGTACTTCAGTAGTCGCTACTGGTGTCTCAGTTGTACGAGTTTTCATAAAGAAAAATAGAATCCAGCCATCGTGCTGTGATAGCTTTTAACGAAAGATTGTAGTTTTGATTGCACTGTTGAAAATGAAAGAATATTTCATTCAAATCTAATAAAGAGAGCTTTAAGTCACAGATACAGTGCATGTAGATATTTTTCTCATATTTCTCATTTGTCAATCACCATTAATCGTTTGTCCTTTGTTTCTAATTAGCTTAGTTGCCCACCTTGATTTGCTATAGGCTGATACTGCCAGAATAGAGCTATACCATCATCGTATAGCCAAAGTAAAGGGATAAAGATGGGTAGGATAGTTTTAAATTGCTCCCTTTTTTCTGTGCACAACTAAGGAAACACTCTTTTAATAATGTTTTTTTTTCCATCTGTAGAAGACTGGAAGAAACCTGGAAAGTCATTTCCCACTTGTGACAACTGAAGTTTTCTGAGGAAGTTTTTATTTAACCTTGTGTGGTCTACTTCCATATGGTAAGATGAATGCGAGGCGGCGCGTGGTGCGATCACACAAAATGTGGTCCACGCGCAAGAGCTCCAGTGCATTTCACTCCAACACCAGATGTTTAAGTGGAAAACCAACCAGGAATTTTACACCGTGACCATCTGTAGTGCTGACCTGACACTACTGGAAAAAAAATTTTTTTTGCAGGCTTCAAAGCCTCTGAATTTGTCCCTCCAGCAATTTAAGCTGCTGTTATTCCAAACGTGAACATGAGTTATGAGAAGGAAAAAGATTGAAAAATCCTAACCAACCCTGAGATGAGCCATATGCATATATTAAGCAAACAATGCGCAAAACTTACCCAACAGATTGAGAGTTGGCAAACTCCCAAAAGATTTCAATTGAAATCTGAATCTGATTATAACCAGCACCTGGAAAGCATTTGCTCCTTTAAAGGAAAAAATTTTTCTCCCAGAAATAAGCGTGCATAAATGTATTGTTTCTTTGCAATTAAATTAACAATCTGGGCTTGGTTTTGACATTTAGAAGAACAATTTTTCTAATAATTAGGGTGAGAAGTTGCAAACTAAGTGATATATTTAGTATTTCTCCTGATTATGCCTTCAGGCTACAGCTCTTAATGAATGAATTAGATGTGTGAAACTTTTCAAGAAGCTTCTTCTATTTCACACACACATTTCATTAACCTGTAGTTCATTCATTATTGCGGTGGGTGTGAGGGAGAGTAGCGACCACATATATAATTGCGTTATCGGGGTGGCAGGGCTGTGGCTAATTACTGGCTGAGAACAAAACACAAGCACTCAGACATCAGCCTGATGGAACAACCAACAATGGCTTGTGACAAGAGCTGTCTTGCCTGAAATTTCAGGAGGAGACATGATAGCACAGTAATTCATGACTCATAACCGAATCGCATCATCCCCATAGCATGAAAGATGACACGGGGACACTGAAATAAGTCAACAAGTTTTCCAGTCTTTAACTGAGAAACGAGATCTGACAGCAGGCTGCTAAAAACAGGGAGAATCTTCTACGCAAAGTCGAAATTTAGCGCCATTTTAATCACCACATCCAGAAAAATCTAAAGTAGTTTGTTGTGGTGTTGCTCAGGCTGCAACATAGCAGTTAGTGGGCAACCTGGCTCTGGGTCATTGGGCTTTTAAGTCTTTTTTTCCGTATCAAGCCTTTGAAATTCTGCAGCTGCAGTTTCTCTTCACCACACTGAAGTTTCACACAAAATCTGGAAACACAACTTTTAACAAATCACACAGTACTCACTTTCCTTGCACCAAAATGTAGGTGCAAAACCTGATTCAGATGTGTGGCTCGGCTCTTCAGCTCGCCAGGTAATGAGCCGTTCGGTTCAATCTGGTGTGCTGGAGCATTAGCCCTCTAACACATGCAAGTCAGGGGTCACTTGGGGTCAAGATTTTGAAACACTGAGATTTTTGGCAATCGCAGAATAAAAAGTGACCAAGACTTTTTATTTCTATGGTCGTGGCTAATAATGGTACTCCTACTCCTAGATCAGAAAGTGTGAAAAGCCAATATAACACCAACCAAAGGGGAGCTAGAAACCGATTTCTGGCCATTGCTGCCATTTAAAATCATCACGGCATTGTCAGCATGCATATTTGCTATGACCCGCTTCTCCTAATGGGAATCAAGTAGTCTTTGCTGTGTGTTCAACCGCTATTTTGTTGATTCTGGTGAAGTCAGGAGACCCAGCAGGGGACCTCGTGTCACTGCTGCTTTTTCAAGTTGGTTCGGTTGGTTCAGAGCCCATGCATCTATCAAATATATGTAATAGCCAACATTATTAGATACCTGTCCACGGTGTGGCTTGCAGTAACTTTTTCAGATGGCTAAAAATCACATATTGTAGCTCAATTTTAACCAACAAAGGATAGGGAAAACCTGGTATTACTGGTAAACCAGCATTCTATAAAAATGTTATGCATTATAAGGGTATACACAAACACACACACACACACACACACATATATATATATATAAATATATATATATATATATATATAAATTACAGCATACAGGCTATTAGTAGCACTATGACACATCTGCTTATTTGCAGCACAGCCCCAAACAACACAAAAGAGATGGAATGTTCCACAGAAAGGAATCCTTTTTATTAGCTCCAGTGTTATATCGTATGAAGGCATTGGTAAATGGACAATGAAAGAAAAGTATTTTCTACCTGCTGCATTACTTATAAACTGTGCTTAGTCTTTTAATTAGTCTCACTTCTTTTAAACATGTGGAGCAGAGCTCATCCCGAAAAGTCAAAGGCAGTAGGAACAATGTCTGTCACCTGGCCTTCTTTATCTCCTGGCTAACACAATGGCTGACTCACTGCGAGTCTGAAACTCCACATTCGGAGCTCATGAAAAGCATTTTAGACGAGACGTCCGCGGCAGCACATTTCCTCTCAATCATAGCTTAACAAAGGAAGAAAAAGCAGAACGCAGCTGCCAAGGAGTTATCCTCATGAATCTCTGGCAGTTTTTTTTTTCCTTTATCCTCTTGTTGACAGCTTGTCTGATTCGTCTAAAACCCGTCCTACATTCATGTCTGTCTCTCATTGTATTGGCTGGAGATATCATCTCCTCAGAGTGACCTTGAGAAGCAGTGTTCAACTCTTCACAAATTTCAAGAGGAAAGTGTTCTACCTTTTTTTTTTCTTTTTTAACACAATGAGAGATAAATGAAAATGGGCAAGGGGAAAAGCAGATTCAGAACCTCTCCATCCATCTCTGGAAACCTGCTCGCCATCCCCGAGGAACCTTGGCTAGACTTGGAGCTTGACTAGTTTATTTCCTCCTCTGCCATTTTTATCTCTCTTTTCACATGCTGCTCGGTGTCCATTTATCCGTGGCGAGGGGGGCTTCTCCTTGGCAGGAGCGATCACTTTCAACAACAGTCCCCGCGAATCAGAGCGACATGTCACATCGTTCCAGTGACAGCTAACGACTACCAATGTATCTGGGCACGCTGCCAGTGCGCTGGGTGAGGAACAGCCCAGGGTGGAGGGGGGGGGGGGGGTGGTGGGGGCTGAATGCTCCAAGGAGACAGAGGTTTAGCTCACTGGTGGCAACATCACATCCCCTCAGTCGACCAAGTCCTTTGCACATGTGTCGTGAGATGAAATCAATCCGCTCTGAGAGGCTGACTCTGATTCTGCGTGTGTCTGGAGGCTGGCTGAGACTGGAGTCACAGTGTCCAATACCCCGTCCGAGGACGAAGGGAAAAGGAGGCAGCTGAGACATAGGGGTCATCTGATTCACCCAAATAGTCGAAGCCTCTTTTTCTTTCCTCCTCCTCTCAGCTCATTTGTATTAGCAAGGTCTAAGAGGTCACCGAAACTTTGCTTTTGCATATATATACTGTTTTGACATCAGGATTAAGAGTAAAACACACAACTGCCATAAATAAACACTAATTGGAAGCTAATTTTCTTAGTTTTTGCCTGGTTGATTCATTGCCTCTGGGCTGGTATGAATTATTCATCGAAAGTGGCAAAACAGCTTTATGTAGAAACCTACAAGGCGCTGCATTCATTATGCTATCATGCTGGGTAATTTCAGGCACTGACGGCTAGTATTAGAATAATATGCATATTGGGTATTCTTTTTGCCTTTCCCGGGGCATTGGCAGGCAGTCGCGGTGCTTCCGTTGGCAGGGACAGAGAGGGATGCTACACCCCTCGTGGCTGACAAAACCCCCTTGTTTTGACAGAGGATTGAGCGAGGAGGGGAGTGTTTTCGGCACAGGGCTCGCGTGGAGAGAGGATTAAGCTGTGTGGTCGCGCTGCCCGGTGGCTCAGGGAGCTGGGAGGCTGCGTTATTGCATCAATTCTTGCTCCCGCGGTACCCCCGGATCTGCTCCGGCCCCGGGACATGAAAAGATGCACCTGGACTGGCTGCAGGGACCTCATCAAGCCCTATATTCCCCCCCCCCCCCCCCACCCACCAGGACCACAGCTGCATCGCACTTTGTGCAGATTCCCAATTCTGGCTGACTGCAAAAAAAAAAAAAAAGGAACAATTACTACACAACCTGTGAGGCTGCAGGTTGTGTTTGTGCTTTGGTATGAGCTTTCCTTCCCCGGTTATCACTTCCTGTTTACCTACATTTTTTTTTTTCCCTGTACACAAGTTAACAGCAGCAGCAGCAGCAGAAGCAGCAGAGCGGGGGCACCGACTCGCACGAGACATGGTAAACAGAAAATGTCAGTTCAAAGCAGGGCGAGACTGTTAAATGGCAGCCGGCGCCTGGCTGAGGTATCCGTCTTTCCCAAGTGCTCCCTGTCTCCTACGATCTGTCTCTGCGCCGGAGATACCTTTACTCCAGAGGCCCGTGTCTTGTCCTCGGGCTTCAGCGGCATCAGTGTGAGAAAAAAACACGCAGGGAACACGGAAGGGTGACAGCTGGCGTCCTCTGTCATGTTGATATCAAAGCTTGGACTAAGTTAATCCACTAAACTTAAAAAACTTAAAGAACAGACTAGACGTGGTTAGATTTTTGAAATAGTTTTGTTCTTGTTTTGTAATTAGTCTGTTTTCCAAATGAAGCGAGAGCGTATTTCACTAAGAAATGTCTTTAAATGCATCAAACTCGTGTTTTTAAACCCGATTATAATTCTTATTGAGCCTCTGAGTTTGCCGTGTCATTGGCGAGGTGACATTAAACAGCCATTTCTCATTTGATGTTCCAATCAGCACCTGAGGCACAACTGGTCAAGCTGCTGTCAAGCTGTGTGCATGGATAAGATTTTGGTCTCCAGAGACTGGCTAAGGGAAAGCAAACCCACATTTCTTTTGGAAACTTGTTGAGTTGAATTTGGAAAGCAAAGAGATGAGTTGACAGTCGTGACAGATTAACATCCCCATTTAATGGTCCCAGTGATGCTGAATTCTCATTATTCATTAGCTCAAGTTGCTCTTGGAAAAAAAACAGTAAATAATCAGAAAAACAGCCTAAACATCCATTCTTTAGCAAACAAATGTGTGAGAATAAAAAAATGTGGGATTATTGTCGTGTTTTTTTCTTTTTTTTGCCTTTGCTTGGTCTTTTTTCAAGAAATCTCTTGTTAATTTGTTACTGTTTTGTTGCCACCAAAAGAAAAAAAAGAGAAAACACAAAGAACAACAACAAAATGTGATCAGTCTAATAGAGCGTTCATGTTTGGAGGAGTTATCTGCATTTTCAGTGTTTACCTCATTACTATTGATTCTGAGTGTCAGGCAGAGCGCTGCCAGATATTAAGGAACATTAACATCACCAATGCCCACTGTAGCGGAATTTAGCCTGTCTCTGGACACAAACTGTAAGCCATTTTACATGACATCCATTTCATGTAGAAATTAGACAACTCAAGGCTCGTTCAGGTGGTCGGCTCCGCCTTACAACAAATGTGCAATCATCAGTCCGCAGCAGCTCACCGTACATGCTCGGTTTCATAGAGCACTTACATCCAAGGACAAAGTCTGTCAGTATCTAAGATCAAGGAAATAGATGAAAAAGGAAAGCCCAGCCTTAACAGATTCCCTGAAAAAAAAAAAAAACCTAGCCTGCACAGCCAAATGCTGTAGACTGTTCCCTGTGAGAGTAATAAGGCGCATACACTGAGCACATTGAGCAAATCACTACATATTCCCAAGTAAACTGAAAGGATGTTTAAAAAGTTATTAACGGGCAAAGGATAATATTCCTTCTGGAATTAGGGATTGACAGAATTGGAGCAACTCGGGTGAAACATTAATTAAGCAAAGGGTTTGAACGTAACCGCTGTAGACTGAGTTTTGCTTGGCACTAAGCCCGACATTATCACAAATGGCCTCCATGCTGCCCTATTATGAACATATAAAATGCCACTATACATTCCATATGTTCTCTTTAATAAAAAAAACAACAAAAAAAAACTTTCTAAGACAATTTAGCCATTTCTCTGAGGGTATATCTCATGAGTCATCACAGAAAGACACACATTTGTGCCACAGTAAAGAAAGATTGTACCAAAACATGGACCTGAGAATAAAAAAAAAAAAACAGAAGCAGAGACCAAAGGTGATCTTTTTTTTTATATTTCTCAACCCCTCCCACTGAGGATAAGCCTTGATGCTCAATGTGCACCAATGCATACTCTGTATTAGTATAAGATAGGCACATATCTCTAGGCTCCCTGTTTAATTTCCGAAAATAGTAGCTTTTTGCGAGCAAGTGAGCTGAACTTCCCCCCTCGGCGAGCTACTTGTTACAATTTTAAACCAAATTTCAAAAACTGTCTTCTTGCACAATTCAAGATAATAGTCCAATGAGCGCACAAAACAATGTGACCTCCTCTGCTGACCCTCTTTGTGGCAGGGAAATTGCCTCTAATGACATGCTGCTGCAGCGCAGACATTCAAAAGATTTTTCCTTGCAGCCTTGCCAATTGACACATCCAAAGAAAAAAATTCTCCACTTGTAATAAATATGGTAACATGCTGTGCCAGAATGAAGAAGAGAAAATCCATTTTTGCTTAAAGGAAAAATCTTGCATCACTCACTATAAATCACAATGAGTGCTTTGATATAGTGTGACAACTACACATGCTTTTGAATAGAATCCAGACGATGAAATAACCTCATTTTTGTGGAGTTAGTTGGGAGGTGTGATTAAAATACTTTGCATTGCCATAGTTAAATCAGTACATTTAGGCATATGAATTTATGAGGCCGGAAATGAAAGCAAATAAAATTTTAAAAAACTGGTTAATTATCTTGTAGAAAATGAATGTGCGGGAATGCGTTTACCAAAATGAAATGGCCTAATCCAAATTTATCTCTTATTGAGTCAGGTGCGCCTGGAAAAGCTGGACAGTCTTTGGGGATTTGCACAATTAAAAATGTGACACTGGAGCGATGGCTGGTTATTATAACTCTTACACCACCTTCGTTACGTTTTGCAGCCAAAATAACATATTTTCTTGCACTGAGGCAGCCACTAATTACATCTCATACATAATCTTTTATGTAAATGCTCTTTGCCGTCTTTGATCTCCCCGTGCAGTCGAGGACAGCCGGATAACAAACTTTGTTCGATCTGTCACTTCAGTCAGAAATCAAGAAGCGAAGTGGAAGGAAATCTGATTTGTTGTGATGCTTGTCAGCCCATGAGCGCGGAGGATGTTTGATCAGGTCATTACATGTGGGCTCTAAAACAACATGGTCAGCCCGCCTGGAGCTTTCATCACAATCTGTTAAGATAAATAAGCTTAACCTCAGATGTGGACCAGTGAAGATGGAGGATAGACAAGGATTTTGAACACCTTTTATTTTCTGGATTAATCTCCTCTAAGCTGCGACGAAATTGCTTCTACGCACAGTTCCTTAACTTAATGAACACCGGGCTGTATGTTGGAGTACGTCGTTATTCACACTGAACTTTTAAACAGCTTATATAATTCTGGATTTCAGTGACAGATAATAGTGGCAAAAAAATAAATAAATGAAAGAGCAGTGACTATCAGTATCAGTGTGTGGCACGCTTAGCATAACAACACACACTGTACCTCCCTTCCTTTTCCCACCATCATAACAAAGCAGGCCCCTGTGGTCCTTTCCGAGGCACAAACTCGGCTGAGGGCTTTTCAGACTGCGTCTGGCGGTATGATATTCCTCATACCAACACAGAAAGGTCAGCTCTGACATCCTGAAAGGAGACCTCAAGCTCTTATGGACATTAGGGAGCCAAACTGGCTCTCTGTAAGGCAGATGCGGTCTGTGGGTAGAGGTCAGACAAGCCGGCCGAGAGCAAGGCGGACCGAGCTAACGACGGTCTCTGACATCCAGTCCAGGCTCCCAGGGGTTCGGGGAGGCATGTTATGCGAGTAACGTGTTTACTTACAACTTGTCGTGTCCACTGTCAAGATTCATTTAGATTGTTTTTTTACATTTCTATTATCGGATATAGGGGACCGGGACTTTTCTGTGTGGCGTTTGCATGTTTTCCCTGTTTCTGAGTGGGTCCCTCCCACTGTCCAAAAACATGCATGTTAGGGTAATTGGGCACTGTAAATGACCCCTAGGAGTGAATGTGACTGCGTGTGGATGTTTGTCCCCGTGTGGCCCTGCAATGGAGCAGCGAACTGTCCGGGGTGTACCCCGTCCCCCCCCCATCATCAGATGCTTATATGAGATGCAGAGATTTAATTCATCTCTATTGTGCTGAGATAACTACAGACGTTTGTGGGAAAAAAGACTTCAACCACATGTCACGAGATACTCAACCTGGTGGACTTAACCCTAATTACATTATTGGAGAGCATTAAAATTGTTGGAGAGGCTAAAGGTGGGCGACGGAAAAATAAAACATAAATATGTTTTGAACCATAAACTAATTTTCTGCGATAAAATGCCTGTGATTTGCTTTCAAAACAGAAAATTTGACATTCATGTTGGATCAGCCAGATCCAATAACAATCAAACTAATAGGGAAAAATCTCTTGGATGTATTCTTATTGTTGCCCAGCAGAAGAAAGGTTCTTTTAAGGGTTCGCTGGGCTTCGCCAGAAATTGAGAGTACAAAAGCTGTACAAAGCAACTGTACAGTTAGTCTTTTTCTGGAAAAGACTCAGGTTTATTATTTTTTCTTTTCTTGTCTGTTTCCGACCAACTTTAAAGGAACTCTGTTTTTTTTTTTTTAAATCAGTAGCGCTGTAATTAATTTCGATTAAGGTTTTCGCTGAAGAACCGAGCTGTACAAAGCAACGTCTCATCACTCATCAACTTCTTTTCCCGCATTGAAGTCACATTTTATTCATCTTACTTTCCAGTTTAGGACAAAAACATGCAGTGTGATTAAAGATAGAGCAGAGACTCCCGGGCAGAGCTGGCTCTGTGAGAATGAAAGCAAAAGAGAGAGAATCGACAAAGTGCGTTGAAAGGGAGAAGACCGAAAGAGAGAACTCTGGTTACCAGGTTACCGGGGCTATCTTTGGACATAAAGGGAGTTAGCAAATCACAGGATTTTTGATTAGAAAAAGTCAAAGAAAGAGAAAAGAAAAAGGGTGTAGGTGTTCTCTTCCCTCTGTGTGTGCTCTACGAATGAACATGACAGGCTTAATTCAGAAGTGTGAGGCCAGAGCCGCTGTCCTTTCCTTTCGTCCTGCCAATCTGGTTACTGCCTCTCTCATTTCCTCGCTCCACAGTGTCACCAATTAGCCAGGGCCTCGGTTTCATTAAGGCATTGGCACTGCTCCCTGCCGCCTTCTATCGCGTCCCTGGAAATAAACCTGAGATAGGTTCTACTACCTGACATGCATGAGGAAAAAAAGGGCGGGGGGGGGGGGGCACAGCACACTTAGAGGAAGTCCAAAGATACCGAAATAAAGTGGGAGGTTTAGTCTGACACACTGTTAACAAACGCCTGCACACATACACTGGCTCAGACTGTTTGTGGAC